AGATTCTCTTTCATCTGTAATTTCTAATGTTGAAGGTAGATATTCAGAAATATCTATTGTGTTTGCAGAAGTAATGTCGTTAATAGTATTATCATTACAGAAAAATGTTATATTATTATTGCTATTATCGTAATCCACAGAAATTTTGGCATTAGTAATATCATCTAATATACTAGAGTTATTGCTATCGTCATAGGGCAATATGACATTGTTGAGAACAGCACCTGTTTCAGAATTATTGCCACTGCCATTGTCACAGAAAAATGTTAAATTCTTCAAAGAATTATTACTATTTGTCAAATTATTGATATTAATTTCATTATCCGTAGTGTCATTGTCATTATCAAAAGAAGATATCACTTTGTCATTATTTATACTATCCTCATTATCACAGTCATTAAAAAATATCATAGCGTTATTAGAATTAGTATTCTTCGTAGAATTATTGATGTTGCTTTCATTATTTTTTGAATATGTATGGTCATTATCAAAATCAGTATTATTTATAGAATTGTTGGCATTAATAATAGTATCTATTATACTATTACGTTTGCCATTATCGTAGGGAAATGTTACGTTAAGATTCACAGTCTTATCTTTAATATGCTTATTACCACATCCACTGGAAAATATGGCAAAATCAGCATGTTTCGTACGATTACTAACTTTACTTTCATCACTTATTATATTATGATCAAGTAGATTATTCAGAAAAGATATCCCATTACTATCCAAAACCAATGCTATTACTCAAATTATTAATATTGATATATTTATTAGTATAATCCATATTAATAGCACAAGTATCTTGTGGTATTTCTGTAAATACTGCAAGAAATAACACATGTAAATTTTTAATACAAAATAGAAATGTTATATATCATGTATCAGGATTTTACACCGTAATACTTACTATTTTCAGCATCATCAAAAGCAAAATCAATAGCATTTGTAAGATTAGCATTAATAGCATTATCTGTTATGCAATAATGTTCACCATTATCGCAAGAGAATGTCACGTTATTATTAGGATTGTTATTATTCGAATTATTATCATTGGAATTGTTCGCATTAATATCACAAGCTAACGTTTCATAACTATTGCCATCATAACAGGAAAATGTTACATTCAGATTCACAGTCTTTTCTTTACTATGCTCACTATCACAGTTATTGGGAAATATATCATTCTCAGTACATCTCGTAGGATTACTAACTTTATTTTCACCATTTATTATGTTGTGTCCAAGTTAATTATCCAGAGAAGATATCCTATTATTGTCTAAATCATTATTGCTATTATTCAAATGACTAACTTCAATATTCTTATTAGTATAATTTAGATTAATAAAACAGGTATCTCGCTGTGGTATTTCTGTAATTATTGTAAGAAATAAGAATACGTATAAACTTTTAATGGAAATATGAAGACAATGTATCAATTGTTAAAATTTAATACTGTAATACTTACTGTTTTTAGTATTGACCACTGGTTTTATATTTTTTAGAACAATGCATGGATTATTTGTATTTAAACTTTCAGCAATTGCAGAAAGATAGTCTTTATTTTCTATAAAAATAGAATATTAACTCTCAATTATTCTGATATAGTTAACCAAAAGTTAATATGTTCCCAAACAGCACAAGATATCCTGGAGACGTCCCAGAGATGCCCTAAGGACGTAAAAACGTCCTCCAGAACATCCTCAGGATATACTCTGCGCATCCTTTGGATATCTGTGCTGTCAGGCTTATGTTACAAGAATTTGAAAACAAAAAATAACATTTAAAAAGTACTATGGAAAAATTAACTTGTTCTTGATACTTACTCAGCAAAAAATGGTTCATCGATTGACGGCAAAACGATGTCAAATTGACATCGAAACCACCAAATCGACGTCGATCTAACATCGTTTTGCCGTTAATCGATGAACCATTTTTCGTTAAGTATATCGGTGCAAATCTGTTTATGATTATATAAATTATGTCATTGTACTGAAAATATTTATATATAGGTTACTTTAGATATAAGATAATGAGACTTACTATTTTGAGCGATTTTACGTAAAATACATTTTTTTCTACGATTTCCAACCATACATGTAATGTGCATTTTTCTGGATTTCTCGCTTTTCACGTGATACTTACGATGATTACATAAAAATGACATATACTGTGACATTTTTTCATGTAAAATGTGACCCAGCCAAAACGTACATACATAAAACAAAAGTAAATGAGTTTCAACAAAGGTATTCAGGCTTCAGTAGACTTCGACAGAGTTCTTCAAGTTAAGGCCTTCACACATAAAATTCCGTAAGGACGTAAGACGTAAACTTAAGACGTAAAACGTATAGTCTATGACACACAGTTGACGTAAAACCTAACGTTCAGCTAATAGTAAACGCGAAAAAATCTCTCCTATTTATAAAAGGTAGGTATAAGATAAATGTTATATTACTGTTACTTTGTGTTTGCTGGATAATAACAAATGTAATAACAATTCATATATATCTTAATTGTGAAGAAAGATTGATACCTTGTGAATAAAGAATTTTATATATCTATATAAACAAAACTATTTTTCAGGTTATTTGTTGAAGAAAAATCTTACAAGATGAAACAAGAAGATATAATATTTGTACTATTGATTATGAGTACAGATTTAATAGTATTACGGAGGAAAAGATCTCAAAAGTGGTTGAATCGTCAGTGGTGGGTCCGACCTATTAATCATAGGCGTCTTAATCTGGGAGATTTCTGTCATTTATTTCAAGAAATGAAAAGTGATCCACAAATGTTCTTTCGATATACGAGGATGACATTTCCAATTTTCAATAAATTATTAGAAAAGGCAAAACCATTTTTAACTAAAAAAAGTCATAGAGCTTTAGTACCGGAAGAACGTCTTACTATAACGCTTAGGTATAATTTTTTACTGTGTGTCATTACATTGCTCTCAAAGTTAATGCTTAACAATGATTATGCGCTTCTCATAATTGTCTAAAGAAAAAAGCAAATATAACTACTACATATAAAATTTTACGTTATGACTGAATTATTCTTTGTATTGACTGAATTATATTTCTAATTGTTACAGATATCTTGCAACTGGGGACCAAGTATTATCAATCGCCTTGGCTTATCGTATAGGGGAGTCAACAGCATATAAGATCATAAAAGAAACATGTGACGTCTTAATAAAAATATTAGCACCTGATTATCTTCGACCTCCAGTACAAGAAGAATGGATTAAAATCTGCCATGGCTTTTGGAAAGATTGGAACTTTCCAAATTGTGTAGGAGCCATAGATGGCAAACATATTGAGATACAAGCTTCGCCAAACTCTGGGAGTTTGTACTATAACTATAAAAAGACTTTTAGTATCGTACTGATGGCAGTCTGTGATCACAATTATAAATTTACTCTGGTTGACATCGGTGCTTATGGTAGCAGTAACGACGCAGGAGTATTCTCTCGATCGGAATTTCGGAAAGCTCTACAAAATCAAGGACTTGACTTACCACAAGGAATAGCAAAATTACCTGGAAGCGAGATAGAAACACCCTGCTTTTTTGTTGCGGATGACGCGTTCCAATTGAGAAATAATATGATGAAACCTTATGCTGGTCGAAATTTAAATGAAATTCAGAAAATTTTTAATTATCGATTATCTCGAGCCCGAAGAACAATTGAAAATGCATTTGGCATCCTTGCTGCACGATGGAGAATATTTAGGAAACCTATTTGCATGAACCCTGCCACTGTCGATAAGATTGTTATGGCATGTGTTTGTCTGCATAATTTTCTAAAAACTGAAAACGATGCATTGCCTATGCAAAATCGCTCATATTGTCAACCTAATTTTATAGATTCTGAATTACCAAATGGCATTATTATTCCTGGAGAATGGCGAAATGAAAACGTTGAAAGTTTACAAGATCTTACACCATCACATGCCCATCGTGCAACAAGAGAGGCATATAATCAGAGAAATTCATTAGCAAATTTGTTTGTTACTCCTGAAGGTGAAGTTCCGTGGCAGTGTGCATATGTTCGTAGAGGTTTCCATTCTGATGATACTCCAGACGTTTAATTATAAATACAGATAAAAAATTTATAAATTGGATTTATGTGTAACTCCCTTCGTCTGCTTCTAGAATTATTTATATAATGTATAATAAATGTTTAATATACGTGTAATTAAAAGATATTTTTTATATTAAATGCCATTTATTGCAAAACATACCATATCTATATAATGTATGTAAAATATATTTACCTATATATATATATATATATATATATATATATATATATATATACATATAATATATATATTATATTCTACGTAAAGAGTTAGAAAAGCAAATTTGAAATATCCTGAGCATGTCTATAACAGTTACAGTTAAATGAGCATAAAAACTGAACACAAAAACGTAAGAATAAAATATAAAGTGCAAAGGTACAACAAACTAATACAATTAAACATTGCACATAAAAACGTACGAATCAAATTATAAAGTGCAAAGGTACAACAAACTAATACAATTAAACATTGCACATAAAAACGTACGAATAAAATTATAAAGTGCAAAGGTACAATAAACTAATACAATTAAACATTGCACATAAAAACGTACGAATAAAATTATAAAGTGCAAAGGTACAATAAACTAATACAATTAAACATTGTACAAGACGTATGAATTAAATATACAGTATAACAATGGTACAACAAAATAACATGGGTGGCGTTCCGATATTCACTACCAGTACTGAAAATTTATAGTGAACATAATATAAACTACAGATTTGCAGTACTAGCAGTGAATAGCGGAACGCAGCATTAAAATATGCTAACTGAACTCTTAAACATTAGAAAGGAAATATGAATACGAAATGTAATACAAACTAATATGAAATGAAGAAGAACAATATGTTATCTGAAATCTAAGATGTCAAAATGATTTGTAGCTTTGCTATCATTTTCACCTATTCAAGAATCATAAGGTGCATACAAAATTTGCATGATTACTTGCTGTCGTTTTTGTTTTTCATACGATGATAATCTTTCTAATTGATTTACGATTAATCTTGCAAAAGTTTCGTCCGGACCACCAATCACTTCGGAATTATGATTATCCTGGAAACGTTGATGCATAGTTTGGCAAAGTAAAATTAGAGAACTCTCTAATTCAGTCGAGTAATTTTTTTTCTTCAATGGTTTTCGTGACAGTGGAGTAGTTTGAAAAACTTTAGGTGCTGGAGAAGATGTTGACTCTCGTGTTGAAAACACAGAGCTTCTTGTCAATTCATCAGATTCAAGATTATCAGATACATCTTGAAAATGCCAAAGTGAACCAGTTGAACCACTTGAGTGATCATTTTCGAGTGATGTCATTGATGATGAAATAGGACCAGTGTTTGACAAGAAATTTTCTTTAAATGGTGTTAAAAAATTTGCACACGGTTGGATTGGTACTTCATCTTTTGAGAGTTGTGAGACGATTTTGGAGGTTGAGGGTTCCGTACTTTCAATGATTACACTGTCCATTGAAAGATTCGTTTCTTGTCTATTTTTTTAATTATGGGTGGAGAAATCGCTGACGAGATGTCTGTGTCAGGCTTATTTGTTGTGACTTCTATTGTCTGTAGACATTTCCAATTTGAAACGTTTGTATGGGACCTGAGGAAGTCATACAGCATTACATACCAAAATATGCGCCAGCAAAATATACTACATTAATTTATATTACTGATCTATAAACTTACTTCCTTGTTTTAATATGGTTATTGAGAAATAACATATTTTCGTAATATATAAAACCATTCCGCCGACTAACTCCACTACCATTTCTTGAATCCAATTCCCTTTGACGTCTCTCTTTACCGAATTTTTCACGAAGCCTTACCCATCGGTTTTGACAATCCGAAGCTATAAAAAAAATATTTTCTTATTAATAAATAATGAAATTCATACAAGAAATAAATAACTTAAGTGCATATTACAATAATTATCAGTATCAGTTTATATTATTATAAATTTCTTACTCTTACTTCCTACTTACTTCCAATGTAGATGTCCCTTTCAAAGACGTCTACATTGGAAGTAAACAGTAAGAAGTAGGAAGTAAGAATAAGAAATTGACCAATCATAGTTAATTATTCTTCTCACATTCGACTGTGGTTGGTCAATTTCTTACTCTTACTTCCTACTTCTTGCTATTTACTTCCAATGTAGACGTCCCTTTAAAGGTTAAGACGGTAGGACATGAAGGTTAAGAGATTAAGGGCCGGTTTCACCAAAGCCTATTATGTGCTTTCTACAATAAGCTATTAGTTATAAGTCATAGGCAAATTGACCAATCACAGTCAATAAAATGGCACGATTTGATTGATCCGCGACGGATAATGCGTGCGTGACGCGCTAAGTGAGAACGTACCCTTAGTTGCTATGTAGAACTTATTCTTGGCCCGACAAATGGCCCGTCTCCCCCTGGAGTCCGCCGTGATGGTGGCCAGGGAGGGAAGAGTGGCGCTGGGGTGGGCGGGTGCGCGGGTGGAAATGCTCGCAGCTCGCCCGCTCCAGTGCCACAAGTGTTGGAGGCTCGGCCACATCCGGGCGGCCTGCTCCGCGTCAATTGACCGGAGTGGGCTTTGTTACCGGTGTGGCCGGGCGGGGCACATCGCGCGGGACTGCGCAGGGAGCGCGGCCTGCGCGGTGTGCTCCGAGGATGGTAGGGACTCGGGCCACCGGGTGGGTGGTCCCGAGTGCCCAATGGGGGGTGGTGCTCCGGCGGGCGGAAGACCGCCGGGGCATCGCAGGGGTCGACCGCCGAACGCGGCCGGCTCGGGATGCCCCCCTACGGGAGGCGTGCCGGCGGACCCCGGGGAGTTACCCCGGGACCCTGCCGGCGGAGAGGGCCCCGGTCTGACCATCTAGACCGGGGCCGCGGCGCCGGCCGAACATCAGGCCGGCGTCGAGGGGGGTCGGTGCCGGGCGGAATCCGCCTCCACCGGTCCCCCCTCTCCCCTACGGGTCGCTTGGGGGGTGTGCGGGGGCGCACCCTCCAATCAAAGCGGCCCGGGAGGGAGGCGGCGCGGTGTTGGGTCGCACCGCGCCGCTGCTCGGGAGGAGCGTGACCGGGGGTGATTTATTACCCCCGGTCCGGAAGGGGTCCTCAGGACCGCGGAGGGGGGTCCGCGGAAGTTATACGGAAGTGGTCCCCGCGGGCCCCCTGATGACCGCTGAGGACGGACCCGCCAGGGGTTTTAGTGGGTAGGGCCCCCCGCCGAGCATCCTCGGCGGGGGGAGGAGCCCCACATAACCCGCGATCTCCCCCCGGAGATCGTGGGCATGCGTAACGCATTTCCCCTGGCTTACAAAAAAAAAAAAAAAAAAAAATGGCCCGACAAATGGCGGTAAAGGCCTTCACACATAAAATTCCGTAAGGACGTAAGACGTAAGCGTAAGGAGACCGACCAATCCCAAACGAGCATTTGGCTCACCGTATCCCCTCCAATTTTGTCCGTAAAACGTAAGACGTAATGTCGAAAAATACCGTAAGGATGAAATTCTTACTGCATACGTCTTCTGGATAACCAATCACAAATTATCAAAGTAAAAACACTTTAGTTCCAAAGTTGGAATCAAGCTAGCGAGGTTATGTGTGCATGGCATTTGTTGCGGTAAAATGAGTGATCACAATCAATATTATAATATGTCTCATAATTCTAAAAATAATTCATTCCTCGAGAATGAAGACGTTAAAGAAAGTGATGAACTGCTCATTGATGCGGTGAGGGCATACCCACATCTTTATAACCACCAAGATCGTAATTTTAAAGACAATTTAATAAAGGAAAATTCGTGGAAAGAAATAGCCTTAGCGGTAAAAATGTCAGATAAATAAATACATTAGTATGAAACAATTAGTATAAAATATATATATATATATATATATATATATATATATATATATATATTCTATACTAATTGTTTCATACTAATGTATTTATTTATCTGACATTTTTACCGCTAAGGCTATTTCTTTCCACGAATTTTCCTTCATTAAATTGTCTTTAAAATTACGATCTTGGTGGTTATAAAGATGTGGATATGCCCTCACCGCATCAATGAGCAGTTCATCACTTTCTTTAACGTCTTCATTCTCGAGGAATGAATTATTTTTAGAATTATGAGACATATTATAATATTGATTGTGATCACTCATTTTACCGCAACAAATGCCATGCACACATAACCTCGCTAGCTTGATTCCAACTTTGAAACTAAAGTGTTTTTACTTTGATAATTTGTGATTGGTTATCCAGAAGACGTATGCAGTAAGAATTTCATCCTTACGGTATTTTTCGACATTACGTCTTACGTTTTACGGACAAAATTGGAGGGGATACGGTGAGCCAAATGCTCGTTTGAGATTGGTCGGTCTCCTTACGCTTACGTCTTACGTCCTTACGGAATTTTATGTGTGAAGGCCTTTACCGCCATTTGTCGGGCCAAGAATAAGTTCTACATAGCAACTAAGGGTACGTTCTCACTTAGCGCGTCACGCACGCATTATCCGTCGCGGATCAATTAAATCGTGCCATTTTATTGACTGTGATTGGTCAATTTGCCTATGACTTATAACTAATAGCTTATTGTAGAAAGCACATAATAGGCTTTGGTGAAACCGGCCCTTAATCTCTTAACCTTCATGTCCTACCGTCTTAACCTTTAAAGGGACGTCTACATTGGAAGTAAATAGCAAGAAGTAGGAAGTAAGAGTAAGAAATTGACCAACCACAGTCGAATGTGAGAAGAATAATTAACTATGATTGGTCAATTTCTTATTCTTACTTCCTACTTCTTACTGTTTACTTCCAATGTAGACGTCTTTGAAAGGGACGTCTACATTGGAAGTAAGTAGGAAGTAAGAGTAAGAAATTGACCAACCATAGTCGAATATGAGAAGAATAATCAACTATGATTGGTCAATTTCTTATTCTTACTTCCTACTTCTTACTGCTTACTTCCAATGTAGACGTCCCTTAAAGCGTGGTCTACAATTTCTGTAAGAATATGGCTGTAAGGCCATATGTTCGACTGGCTTTGGGTTAAGGGACGTCTACATTGGAAATAAACAGTAAGAAGTAGGAAGTAAGAATAAGAAATTGACCAATCATAGTTAATTATTCTTCTCACATTCGACTGTGGTTGGTCAATTTCTTACTCTTACTTCCTACTTCTTGCTATTTACTTCCAATGTAGACGTCCCTTTAAAGGTTAAGACGGTAGGACATGAAGGTTAAGAGATTAAGGGCCGGTTTCACCAAAGCCTATTATGTGCTTTCTACAATAAGCTA